TGTTGTGGCCTCTCCCGTTGCGGAGCACAGGCTCTGGACGCGCAGGCTCGGCGGCCATGGCTCACGGGCCTAGCCGCTCCGCGGCATGTGGGATCTTCGCGGACCGGGGCACGAACCCGTGTCCCCTGCACCGGCAGGCGGACTCCCAACCACTGTGCCACCAGGGAAGCCCCAGCCCTGCATTTTGACTGGGCTTTCCTAGATTCTCCTTACATAATTGTAGCCATTTCTCTGCCAGTAGTGATTTAGAAATGCCTTTCTAAAGCCCTCTGCATTTGCCTCAGCTTCCTTTAATTTTTCTAAAACTTTTACCTTCCTTTCTTAGCATTTGGATTTCTTTGGTTTCAAGCCATAGAAACTCATTATGGCTAACTTAGAAAAGCTGAGCATTGGGAGCATATTGGAGAGCTCACAGCCTGAAAGGAAGGCTAGAGAGCTAGGCTCAAGGAACGTAGGAACTAGGGCAGCTCTGGGGACTCCATAGCAGGAATCAAGTCTTGCCCTCACTACCTGCTGAAATGAATGAACGACAGCTAGTTTTTTTCCATCCCTCACATGCATGTTCATCATTCAAAGCTCCAGCAGAGAGAGTCTGATTAGTCTGGTTTAGGTAGGGGCCTGGGGAAGAACGGACATCTTAACTGAAAGCTCAGTAGGACTGTGCACAGGTAATTCCCCAAAGAATCCAATGACTATTGTCAGAGGAGGAGGAGAGAGTCATTGCTGCATTGTCAAAACCCAAGTAATATCCACTACACCCTAGTTTTCCTTCCTAACCTCCATTTCCTACTTTTTCTAATTATCCATAATAGGAATGACCAATGCACCTTGCAGGGTTGTGGAGAAGATATATAAATATAAATCCACATGTATTGGAATTTTCCTCCAAAGGATTAATGGTTGGCGAAGTTTGGCCTTACCCCTCAGTGTTGCGTGGAAGGATTAAGGAAGATAATATATGCAAAATGGCTCCCACAGCGCCTGGCACCTAGTGAGGTTCATTACATGCATTGCTATTTCAGCGCCCCTCACCGCCCTCTTCTGTGCTGGAGCCAGCTCATGAGAGCAGATTGCGATATTTTCAGGAATTTTGTGAGCCAACTGACATAACGTCGGTAGCTCGAAGTTGACCTTGTTGGGAATATTTATACCACGGAAACTGGAAATGCAGCTAATTAGACTCCCCCCAACCTCCAGGCAGTTGTTAAATATTTCTCAGCTCAGCCTTGCATCCACTTCTTTCCTCCCTTCACAAGATGTGAGCAGAACCAAAGTACAGCTCAACCACCTTATTAACACTCAGAGTTATACTAGATCTGCTCTGCCCATAATTTCTGCAGTGTACAATGCATGAAAATCCAGCCCTACATTTTGCCTGGGCTTGCCTAGTTTCTCCTTACATAATCGTAGTCACTTCCCTGCCAGTAATAATTTAGAAATGTCTTTCTAAAGTCCTGTGCACTTTGCCTCAGCTTCCTTTAATTTTTCTAAAGCTTTTACCTTCCTTCCTTAGCATTTGGTTTCCTCTGGTTGTGAGCCACAGAAGCTCATTATGGCTAACAAACAGAAAAGTTGAGTATGTATGTCAGTTAGGATTAGATTCAGCTGTGAGAGACAAAAAATTAGAATAGTGGTTTACTAGATATAAATTCATTCTCTCTGATAGAAAGTCTAGATCAAGGCTGGCAGCTCAGGCTTGGCTAGAAGCTCACTTTGTTGCCTCACGTCCTCAGTACATGGTTTTTACTTCATGATCTAAGATGGCTGTCCAAACTGCACATTCCAGCCAGTAGGACAGAGAAGGGCAAAGAAACACATCCTTTCCTCTTAATCCATTGACAGAAGTAATGCACAGCATTTCTGCTTATATGAAATAGGCTGAAGTGAAGTCATTTAACCATATCCAGCTGCAAGGGAGGCTGGGATATGTGTTATTTACTCCAGGCACCCCTGTGCCCAGCTGGAAACTGAGAAGAAGGGAAGGGTGGATACTGGGAGACAGCTGGGTGGCCCTCCCACTGATGGGCAGGGTTTAGGAAAGTGTAGGAGGGGAAAGTGGGGCTGGTGTGATGGGAATAAGTGTGCTTTGTGGAATTTTGAAGGAGCTGGCTGGAATAGAAAATTAGAAATACTGGAAAATGAGGTTAAGTAAACAAGGTGAAAGCCAGATCTCAGTGAGGGTCCAGGAAAGCAGACAAAAGAATCTTTATCTAGTGCCATTAGAAACAGGAGGCATTAAACTTTTGGGTAGGGGAGCTGTATGATCAAAGGCATTAAAGAGATTTTAATCTGGCGTTTACGTGCGAGTCATGTTGGGTGGGGGGAAGGAAAAACAGGAAAGGGCAGGGAGGTTGGAGAGGAGACCAATTTCACAATCCAGGTGTGAGGTGATTATGTGGGGGCAATGGGAACAAGGAGGAAGAAATAAATCTGAGAGGCATTTGCTAGAAAATATGTTAGGATTGATGGCTGGCCTGATAGGGAGTTTCAGGTTGGGGAGGCCAAGAAACAAGTAAACAAGTGAACCTGCCTTGATAGGTGTTTTAGGTTGGGTCACCTAGAGGCAGAGCCTGGCACAGAACTTTTGTTCAAGGGATTGATGCGGGGAGGAGAAGAGCGAGGGGAACAAGATGGCAAAGCCAAGAAGCTAAGCAAGGATGTGGGCTAAACTGTAATCCGAGTCCACAGTGAGACTCTCAGCGCAAATCACACCAGAGTCGGCTCCACCTTGAGAGAAGGGGGCTGGTGTTTTACAGCTGCGCATCAGGCAGTCAGTGGCTGAGATCTGTCCAAAGTGTGTGTTGTGGGGATGGCTTGTCTCCCATTTGGTCCAGGCCAATTCTCCAGAAAAGGGGACAGCTGTGTGTGGTCATCAGACAACATGCCTGGTACCTGGGGGATGAGTAGACCAACTGGTAAAGATGATCTGGGTGAGGCCCAGATAGCATCCATTACAGTGGGTCCATTTTGGATGTGTTGGACTTGAGGTGGCAAAGAAATAAGGTATTGGCACATGACTAGAGGGAAATTGGCAATACAAGATAGGAGTTCATGTCGATGAACAGGACTGGTTACGGAGGTATTGGAGTGGGAGACTCTGCACACAGGTGATAGTTTCGTCAAGAAGGAGTGAGCCCGGGACTTCCCTGGTGGTCCAGTGGTTAAGACTCCGTGCTCCCAATGCAGGGGCCCTGGGTTCAATCCCTGGTCAGGGAGCTAGAGCCCGCATGCCGCAACTAAAGAGCCTGCATGCCACAAGGAAGATCCCACACGGCAGCAACGAAGATCCTGTGTGCTGCAAGTAGGACCAGGCACAGCCAAATAAATAAATATTTTTAAAAAGAAGAAGAAGAAGTGAGCTCTTTGAGGGCCATGGATAGAGAGAGGGGAGCAAGCCTTTGGAAAGTAAGTTGGTTACAGCCTAGTGGGAAGGTGGGAGGGGGAAGAGGAACCAATGAGTAAAGCAAAGCAGAGGCCGGTAGAGAAGCATGTCCGTGTGGTAGTTGACCTTATATTAAGACTGGAAGTCAAGAAAGAAGTTGAAGGAGAATGAGTATGGAGAAAAAGGTGAGGTGTTTTTGACTTTAGTCAGTTGGGAGGTTGTTGGTGGTCTTTGAGGGGACAATTTCACAGCAGGACAAGGTTAGAAACCATGTGGTCGAGGCTAGTAACGCTTTCCACATTTAATGCCATTCCATCTGACTAACTCAACTCGTCTAGGGTACTTTCTCCTTCAGTTTCTATGCTGCTCATTCTTGCTCCTCCTAAGGTCACTCTATGTTCTGGTTATCTAATGTTGCCTAAAAGATTACCCCAAGACTTAGCAGGCATGACACTCTTTGTTACCTTTATGGGTTCTGTGGATCAGGAGTTTGGATGGAGTGCAGTGGGGGTGGAGATGGCTTGCCTCTGCTCCATGATGTCTGGGGTCGAAGCTGGAAGACTCGAAAGCTGGAGACTGGAACCATCCGTCTGCAGGATCCTTCATTCACACGTCTGGCAGTGGATGCTGGCTATTGGCTGGGGGCCTCGGTTCCTCTCCCTTGGTCTAGATTGGGCCTCTCTTGCGTGGTGTCTGGGTTACTGAGAAAGAGAACCAGGCATGAACTATATACTTTTTATGACTTCACTTTTTTATGATCTACATTGCTTTCCCCCTACTCCATTGGTCACAGCAGTCACAGCCCCACCCAGATTCAAGGGGAAGGAACACGATCCCGCCCTGGCGTGTCAGTCACGGGATAAGAAGAGTATCGGAGGAGGATACCCATCTTTGGAAAATATAGCCTTTCATCCTCTGTCAGAACTCTCCATTTGCTTCTTATGAGTGGCCCCATTTATTCAACAGTCATCAGTAGTAACAGCAACTGGAGGAACTTCCTGAGGGCAGGGGACTGGCCTGTTACGATTGTCTTCTTTATCTTTATATCCTAAACATTTTGAGCAGTGATAGCCTCACAATAGATTCCTAAGGAAGGAAGAACTCCTTTTAAGTCTGTTTTTCTCAGACACTGCATCATTTGACCCTAAACTAGCTATCACGACAGTTGAAGAAACTACGGGGCTTAGAGGGGTAAGTGGGCTACCCTTCAGATGACTAGGCTAGCAAGAGCTCAGCTGTGACATGAACCCAGGTCTTCTGGGTTGAAGTTACTTTTATTAAGAACTTGATGCCTCCAAACAGCGGGACTGCTCCTTCAGTGCCCCTGTCTCCTCCATCCTCACAGTAGCCCAGGGCCAACTATGGGGCAACGATAGTGATCCCTCAGCTGCTGACTGACTAGTCCTGCACTTGATACACTGATTTAACATGGTGATTTAATATCATTATTTAATATGATTTTGCATCTCTTTTCTCAGGAGAGCAGGAGAGGGCTAGGGCACAGACTCTCGTGCTGCACTCAGCTTCCGGGCTGGGTAGAAGGCCAGGACGAAGTTGGTCCTCATCTCTCTGAGTGGGCAGCACCCATGTCAGGAGTGTGGGGTGAGAGGAGATGCCAAGAAGAGTTCTGTTGGGGCAATCAGATGGTGATCTGAGGGAACCACATGGGAAGAGGGGGGAAAAGCCTAGAAGGGAAGTGGCTGAGGTAGTTCCTGTAGGTTCAGCTCAGAGGGGAGTGGGGAGCCAATTTCCGCCCCCTCCCCAACTCACATCCCAGCCCTAAAAATGCTTCACAGCCTCAGGAGGAAATCCTGGCCAAGTATCCAGTGTGGGTGGCAGGGGTGCTTATCTAGATCAGGAGTGGGTGGGAGGACATCTTAGAACTTATATCAGGCCCCAGTTTTCCATATCCTGCCTGTGCCCTGCCACCTCTGCCTCCGAAAACCAATTTTTGACTTTATCTCTTTAGAAATGTCCCCAGGCTAGCAGTTTATCTCTCAGAGGTTGCAGATCAGGAAGGACCTTCAGAAAACACAATTTCCACTTCCACTGTGGGGCAGAAAGCATAGGGCAGCCTAACCCCTCGATGCCCGTGAAGTAACAAAGGACCAACTGCGCTGTGTTGTAGGACTACTGGCCTTACCAGGTCCCCGCTCTCCCCCACCAGCCCCGAAGGGACCTCTTAGACTCCTTCTCTCTCTGGTTTCTCCCCATCCTGCTCCCCTTTGCTAAAATGCTTACCTTCCCTGCTCAGGCCCTTTGAAAGTAGCTCACTATGACTTTTCATATCACCTCCAACTCTTCAGCCTCAACTTCATGGACGTTGGCGGCCCAGCTTCAACTGTATCATTCGTGAGTCACCCCTGCTCTTTTGTTCTAGCCCCATCAACATGCCAGTTGCTCTCCCCCACGTAGGGATTACTCACCGCTTAAGTCACCAGTCCCTCTGGAATGTGCCCCCTCCTCCATGACACCCATTCTCCCCACATCCTTTATTATTTTGTTTAAACTAACAATGTTTTTTTTCCCCTCCAATGATTAAAATAACGTGTGTTTGTTGTGGAAAATCTGTGAAATGCAAAATGTATACAAACAGAAGAAAATAAAAAGTACCCAAAATTCCACAATCCCAATGTAGCTAATGTTATCATCCCAGCGGATTTCCTTCCCGTATTCTCATCAGAACTCCTTCCTGCTTCAGGCCTCCATGCATGCTTATTATTCCTTTTTATTATTCCTTATTATTCCTAAAAGTCTCTCCCTCTGTCCCCCTCTCTTTCTCTCTTCCCTTCCTAGTTCTGTGAGTCAATCAACTCACCTTATTATCATAAAGGTCACACTCTCAGTTAGGTCTCCCTATTACACAGTCACAATACCCAGTACTTTTCCTTGTGGCACTTGCCACAACTAGAAATAAACCATAATTTTTGTCCTCGTGTGTTTAACGTCTGTCTTGGCCACTTGACTTGACGTAAGGTCCATGACTGGCTTTCTTGTTTATTCAGATGACCCTAGCATCCACCACAGTGCTCTGGATACAGAAAAAACACAATGCTTGGCACCAAGATGCCTTCTTGAATAACTGTGTGTCTGTTCTCTCTGCTCTTCAAAATAGTCAATTCCACAAATACAGTGAATCAATTACCATATGCCTGACCTGGTTCCAGGTACAGGATACCCAGTTCTTGCCCTCAAGGAGCACTTAGCCTTCTGAAGGAGACAGACCAGTAAATGCAACATTTGAGTACATCTTTAAGTATATGATGATCAATGGTATTGAGTAACACATAGAGGAAGGGTCCTTAAACCTTGGGGGGAGGTGACACCATGGTTTTATTTTGTCCTTAGTAATGCATTTACTTTGTAGAATCAGAGGATAGTAGAATTGAGTGGTACCATGAGAGACTTGGTCAAAGCCACTGGGTAGTTGACTGGTGGTTGATTGGGAATTAGACCTCGATCTTGAGATTCCCAGCCCAGTGCTCTTTTCCACTGTGCCTTGGGGGCCTCTGGAGCACCCCCTTCCTTCATCAGCCCCCAAGTCCCATTGATTTTCCCTTGTAAAGATCTCTCCAGTCTGTCCACTTTCCCTCACCTCCCTGTCACCACGCTCCAAGTCTCCATCACCTCCAGCCTGCATGCCTACCCCACCTCCTACCTCCTACCTTATCTCACTGCCTCCAGTCCTGCCCTGCTCAGATCCCTTCTCTGAGTTTCAGCCAGAGTGAGCCTTCCCAGATCTGAGTGTGAGCATGTCTATCCCTTGCTTAAAGCCCCAGAGGCTTGCCACCAAGCTTTTAGGAATATGTTCAAAAGTCTTCTGTTTTTCTCTTCCATTTTACTGAAATATAATTGACATACAGCACTGTATAAGTTTAAGGTGTACAACATAATGATTTGACATATGTACGACATGAAATGATTACAATAGGTTTAGTGAATATCCATCATCTCATATAGATACATTAAAGAAATGGAGAAAAAAATGTTTCCTTGTGATGAGAACTCTTACTCTCTAACAACTTTCATATATAATGTACCATAGTGTTAACTGTATTTCTCATGCTGTACATTACATCCCTAGAACTTATAACTGGAAGTTTATACCTTTTGACTGCCTTCATCTGATTCCCCCTCCCTCCCACTCCCTGCCTCTGGTAACTGCAAATCCGATCTTTTTTTTCTATGAGTTTGTTTGTTTTTGACCTATAACTGACCTATGACACTATGTTAATTCCTGATGCAAAGCATAGTGATTTGATATTTCTATACATTTCAAAATGATCACCATGGTAAGTCTAGTTGTCAGCTGTCACCATACAAAGATTTTACATAATTATTAACTATAATCCTCATGCTGCACATTTATACCTGTGACTCATTTATTTTATAACTGAAAGTTTGTATTTTTCATACCTCTTAGTCTCTGTCACCTATTCCTCTTATTCTCCCACCCACCTCCCCTCTGGCACCTGCTTGTTCTCTGCGTCTATGACTCTGTTTCTGTTCAGTTCTGTTTGTTCATTTGTTTTGTTTTTTAGATTCCACGTATAAGTAAAATCATACAGTATTCGTTTTTCTCTGTCTGACTTATTTCGCTTAGCATAACATACTCTAGGTCCATCCATGTGGTTGCAAATGGCAAGATTTCATTCTTTTTTATGGCTGAGTAATATTCCATTGTGTGTGTGTGTGTGTGTGTGTGTGTGTGTGTGTGAGACACATCTTCTTTATCCATTCATCTATTGATGGGCACTTAGGTTACTTCCATATCTTGGCTATTGTCAATAATTTCTGCAATGAACATATGGGTGCATATATCTTTTCAAATTAATGTTTTTGTTTTCTTTGGATAAATTCCCAGAAGTAGGATTGCTGGATCATATAATGGTTTTATTTTAACTTTCTGAGGAATCCACACTGTTCTCCATAGTGGCTGCACCAATTTATATGCCCATCAACAGAGCACTAGGTTCCCTTTTCTTTACATCTTGGCCAACACTTGCTATTTGTGGTCTTTTTGATAATAGTTATTCTGACAGGTATGTGGTGATTGTGGTTTTGATATGCATTTCCCTGATCAGCAATGTTGAACATCCTTTCACGTGCCTCTTGGCCATCTGTATATCTTCTTTGGAAAAATGTCTGTTGGATTCTCTACCCATTAAAAAAAATTGTTTTTTGATGTTGAGTTCAGAATTCTTAATACGGTATATTAATCTGCTCAGGCAACATAACAACATACCACAGACTAGGTGGCTTAAACAACAAAAATTTATTTCTCATAGTCCTAGAAGCTGGAAGCCCAAGATCAAGGTGCCAGAAAGGTAAGTCTAATTCTAAGGCATATTCTCTTGACTTGTAGGTGGCCATCATCTCCCTGTGTGCTCATATGGCCTCTTTCTTCTCTGTGCACACATGGGCAGAGAGAGCTCTCTTGTATCTTTTATAAGGACACCCATCCCATCAGATTAGGGCCCCACCCTTAGGACCTCATTTAACCTTAATTACCTCCTAGAGACCCTATCTTCAAATATAGTCACATTGGGGTTTAGGGCTTCAACATATGAGTTTTGAGGAGCACAATTCAGTCCATAGCATATGGCCTACCAGGTCTTTCTTGATTAGCCCATCTCACCAGCATCCTCTAAGCACCACTCTTCTCTCTGCCCCCATGCTTCTGTAACTTGAATTTCTCTTGGTTCCTCAAACTTGTCCAGATCTCTTGCAAATCTAACCCCTCCGTCACCTTCCTTTCGTCCTCTGCCTGCCCCACTGCTATTGGGTCTTTGTAAGAAGAAATCTATCTAGCTTTAGAATAAGCAGATATGGTTTTGCCCCCTTTTGACCCGAGTCCATCGAGGCATCACAGGACCTGTCTTGGACCTCTTTGAGAATCACCTACTCTTTTGAGAACTGAGAACTGAAGATGGTAGAGTGTACAACCCCCTTTGTGAGCCAGAAACCAGAACTCAATTCCTGCTTTATTGGTGAGCTTCCTCCTTTTGGATCTATATTTTGGCCTTTCAGTTTCTTCTTAGGGAGACCCACTGGACTCATTTCTTGAGGGACATGGCTCTCCCTTGCCTGTTAAGCAATAAACTCAGCTTCCCCTCCCCCAGCCCTGATGTCTTTCTATTTTGGTTTGTCACTTGCAAGTCTCAGTTTAAAGGTCTGTCTCTAAGGGAGGTCTTCCCTGATACCCCATCCTGTGTTTAGTTCTCTGGCTCTGCATTCCTATGGCAGCCTGTACTCTCCCTTTTTTAAGAGTTACCACCTCGTTTCTATATGTTTCATGTCTGTCCTTCTGAGCTCTGTAGGGCAGGAGGCATCTCCATCTGGTTGGTTGTGGTATCCCGAGGGCTAGTATGGTGCCTGACACCTAGTAGGCTATCAGCAAATATTAGCTTTTATTAGTAGATGCTCCATAAGTATCCACTGGCCTGCATTGTCCTCAAAGAGTTTCTCAGATAGTGTAGGCATTTTGTTTTCTAAAGTGGACTAAAATTTCTCAGAAGAATCCTCTTTTCCTTTCTTTAAATCTCCCACACTATGACCATTATGGGTTTCTTCATCCAAGAAACATTTCATCAATGATTATTAATTGATCTCCCTACAATAACTTTCCCAACAGGCATCATATTTGAAGAAATAAGAAAATTTAAACAATATGTTATATAGCAGAACCATCTATTATGAATTTATTGTAACAATAATCTATTGAGAATTAACAAGGAATAAAGGAATTCTTCTCTTCCTCTTCTGCGTAGTCAGGACTTTGCATCCTTGAAGTTGTGGGTTTCCTGACCGTTGAGCGGTTTGGCTTTTTTGTGTGTTTTAGAAAGAAAAGTAAGAATCAGACTGGGTGGAGGTTTATAGGAAGCCCACACCAACGTAGGCCTTGGTTTTGGAAGGTGCTGGATGTCTGGTCTGAAAGGGAAGGATGAAGAGGCAGGCAGTAACCTACCTCTTGGATGGCACTTGGACCTCTGGGGACTCAGAGAAAAAAGAGGGGATCCAGTTTCTCCAGGACATGTGGAGAGCTGGGCCTTTTCAAGAGCAGCCTCTCGGATGGTATTGGCTGCCAGCATCCGTGAGAACTGCGCCCAAGTGCTCTGTACTGGGTATTTTCAGAACTTCAACAACTGCCCCCAGGTAAGGCCAGATCAAGACTATAGAGAAAAACAGAAAATGTTATGTTGCCCCCCCGCAGCGTAATTAAAAATAAAAGAACTACATGAAACCAAAATCAGCTTTAAGGATGTACTATAGATTTGTAATTTTTCCTAGATGCCTGATTACTTTGACTCCCTCCTGCTCTCTCCATCTCCTCCTCCTCTTTCTTCTTCTTCTTGAACATCAAATTTCCAAAGTTGATGCTTTTTTTCCTCTCTCCTAGCTTTGCTGATGCTATGCTTGGGCGATTAGGAATTGCTCAGGCCAGCCTAGTGGTCTGTTTCTGTTGGACCCCCGAGGCCTGGATGAGGAGCAAGGCAATGCTGACCAGGTTGCCAGAGGAGTAGACTCTCATCTGTTTCCTCAGGATTGCAGAAGCCTCGACTTCCTTGTTTGATCCAAGGGAGGGAGTCTGAAAACTGTCAGACACTAAAATACCATCAGTGATGGGCAGGGTGGAAGGCAGATTTGATACGAGTGAGTCCGTACAGAAACAGGACATTACATGTGCCCCAAGAGCTGTGGATCAATTCATTCATATCTATTACACATATAGAGCTATACATGCTTATTTACACATAAATGTTTCTAGATAGACAGAGAAGGGACTAGTAACAATTATGGCTTCTGGGAAATAGGGTGGGGTCTACTTTTTTTTTTTTTGAGACAGTTTTTTTTTAAACATTGAACAAATGTTACTTTTACAATAAAAATGTACTTCAAAAATTAAAATGACTCATCAGATTGCTAATATCTACAAATTTCAAACTACAGGACAGCTGGAGACTCTGCTTTCCAGGAGGGAGATCTTGTGACCCAGGCCTGGGTTGTGAAGGGGGATTAGTGATGCTTTCCAGCTGTGGCGTGTCCATTAGGCAGCTGGAGAGGTAGCTAAATATAGACTAGCCTGCGAAGTGTGCCAAGATGAATCAGGGCTGGAGCTAGAACACTCCTTCACTGCGTCCATGAGCACGCACATCGTACCTAAGTTCCAGGCACTGAGAGTGTAGGAGTGAACAAAGCAGATGGGGCTCCTTGGCCTCTGGATTTGGAGTCTAATCACAACTACAATCAAGATATGGAACAGGTCTACTGCCCCCAAGACTCCCCTGTGCTATTCCTCTGTAGTCACATCTTCCCGCCCGCCCCACCCCCCACCAAACCTCTTGCTATTTTGATCTATTCTGTCATTTTAGCCTTGTCTTTTTAAAATGTCACATAAATGGAATCATATAGCATGTAACCTTTTTGAGACCAGATTTTTTCACTCAGCATAATGCCTTTGAGATTCATCTAAGCTGTTGCATGAATAATTTCTCTCTTTTTGTTTTTGGATTGTGTGCCATGGCACGGATAAGCCAAGTAATGCATTTACCCATTTTAACTAGTTTTTGGTAATTACAAATGTAGGCTGCTATGAGCATACAGTGTATAGGTTTTTGTGTGAACATGTTTTTATTTCTCTCAGGTAAATACCTAGGGGATTATTGACTTGTGCAGTAAGTGTGTTAACTTTATAAGAAATTTCCAGGCTATGTTCCAGAGGATGATTTTGCATTCCACCAGTAATGAACGAGAGCTCCTGTTGCTGCCTTTTTGCCAACGCTTGGTAGCACTGTCAACATTTAAAAAAATGTTTTGCTACTCTAACGGATTTGTAGTGGTAATTCGTCCTGTTTTTTTTTAAAATTACATTTACTTAAAAAAAATAAATTTATTTATTTACTTAGGGGTGCGTTGGGTCTTCGTTGCTGCTCACCGGGCTTTCTCTAGTTGCGGCAAGCGGGGGCTACTCTTTGTTGCGGTGCCGCAGGCTTCTCATTGCGGTGGCTTCTCTTTGCTATGGAGCACGGTCTCTAGGCACTCGGGCTTCAGTAGTTGCACACGCGGGCTCAGTAGTTGTGACTCGCGGGCTCTAGAGCACCGTCTCAGTAGTTGCGGTGCATTGGCTTAGTTGCTCCGCGGCATGTGTGATCTTCCTGGACCAGGGCTCGAACCCGTGTGCCCTGCGTTGGCAGGCAGATTCTTAACCACTGCGCCACCAAGGAAGTCCCTTATCCTGGTTTTAATTTGCATTTCCTTAATGGCCAATAACGTTGAACAACTTTTTATATGCTTATTTGCTTTCCTTTTATCCTCTTTGGTGAAGTGTCCCTTCAAGTCTTTTGCCTACTTTTTAAATTGGGTTGTCTGTTTACTTGCTTTTGAGTTTTGAGAGTTTTTATATATTCTAGATACATATCCATTGTTGAATACATAACTTGCAAATATTTTCTCCCACTCGGTACCTTGTCTTTTCATTCTCTTAATAGGATCTTTGGCACAGTAAATATTTTTATTTTGATGAAGAATATTTCTTTTTATTACTCATTTTTATTGAGATATAAATGACATATAGCAAAGTGTACAAAGCTTAAGTGTACAGCTTGATAAATTTTTGCATTTGTATTCACCCATTTAACCACCATCCAGATCGAGATAGTATCACCCCAGAAGGTTCCTTTAAACATCTATCTAGTCAATATGCAAAACCCCTCTCTTGCCCACCTCTGAAATAACTGCTATTCTGACTTCTATCACCACAGATAATTTTGTCTAGAAGGTTTCTAATGACTGTGCTCCAAGTTTTGTGACCTACCTGGTTTTGTTTTGGAAATTAGAAGCCTCCCAAACCCCACCTTGGGGAGAGACTCCAACGCCCCTCACCAGATGTGATGCAGAAGTTGGTGAGCAAAGCTGGGCTTCTTAGCATCTTGCCTCTGGCATACCAGCAAACCAGTCTTCACAGCAGAGTCCAAAAACCTGGTAGAAAAGGGTAGACAAGGCTTAGGCATCCTAAAACTCCAGTGAAGTGGCAAGGGTACTGTCCCAGGAATCAAAAGGCATGGGTTCAGCTCCCCCTACCCCTGACATTTACTGCATGTCCTTGAACAAACTACATAAGCTTCCTGTGCCTCAGCCACCTCATCTGTAAAATGGGAACAGTAATATCTACCATGGTTATCAGGCCTGTTCACCAATACCTGAGTCTCTCTTTCCTTCCAGATACCTAGGAAGATTGTACTTTGCCACCTCGTTTAACTCCTACCAATTAACCCAGGAATGGCTATGTGACTTATTTTGACCAATTAAAACGTGTCTCTTCTACACGGAAGTGTTAAAAGCCAGTGTGTGCTGTGCTTTTTCACATTCTCTCTTTCTTCTACTATGGCAAATAGCGACGTTCTAGGTAGTGACTGCTCTGTCAACCTAGGTCCTGAGGTTAGGACAATGATGGCTCAGAGCAGAGCCTCAGTCAACCCACCATTGATAAGTGGCAGGAGTAATAAATAAATCTTTGCTGCATAAAGCCCCTGAGCTTTTGAGGCTGTTTGTTACAGAAGCATAACCTAGCTTGCTTGGATGATATACCGTACTATAAGTTTATTACTAAGATTATATGAAATAAAATGTATGGAACTTCTGGACACACAATAAGGATTGATTTCCTGCCTTTCAAAATCTCCTTCTTTTTATTCTGAACCCAGGGGTAGTCTAACCACCTAAAACCCTTGATAAGAGGCAAGAGAACAGACCACCACCACTCAAGCACAAAAGAAGGATGAGAGGAAAAGGATACAAAGCAACAAAGGGTATAGAAATATGACACAGAGCAAGGAAGAGAAACAAAGTGTTAAGGAAGGAGAGAAAAAAGCATAAGAGCAGGGAAAAGAGAGAGGTACAGAGGATGCCTGAGACACAGACAGAGGTGATTCTGAGGAAAACAATGGCTGAGGCAAATGGAAACTGTATCTGTTTTGAGATGCTCATCCCAATCCCAGGCAAACAACATCATCTGTTAAAGTAGCTGAACAGGGCTTCCCTGGTGGCACAGTGGTTGAGAGTCCGCCTGCAGATGCAGGGGACGCGGGTTCGTGCCCCGGTCCGGGAGGATCCCACATGCCGCGGAGCGGCTGGGCCCGTGAGCCATGGCCGCTGAGCCTGCACGTCCGGAGCCTGTGCTCCGCAACGGGAGAGGCCACAACAGTGAGAGGCCCGCATACCGCAAAAAAGTCTAGAAAAAAAATAAGTAGCTGAACAGGGAATTCCCTGGAGGTCCAGTGGTTAGGACTCCACGCTCTCACTGCCAAGGGCCCAGTTTAAATCCCTCGTCAGGGAACTAAGATCCCACAAGCCGCGCGGCGTGGCCAAAACAAGCTAGGGCTCTATTAGTTCCTGGTCATCCACTCATCAGTTTTTCCACTCAACCATTACTGATCACCTACTGTGTGCCTGGCACTGTGCTCGTGCTGAGTTTACCGAGATGTGCAAGACCCAGTGCTGGCCTTTCCCTTCAAGGATCCCCCAGTCTGGTGTGAAGCAGTCACCTGAACAGTTAGGATACAATTTGGCCTGATGGAGGTGCCCACAAGGGATATAGGAAAGGGGGAACCAGGTTCTGCTCAGGCGGAGTCAGAAAGCGCTTTCTGGGAGACATGAGTCTAAGGGTCCTGAAGGGTAACTAGGAGTTAGCAAAGGCAGGGTTGGTGAGGGCATGCTGGGCAGAGGGGCAGCAGGAGCCAGCTGGTGGAGGTGAGAAGCGACAGACAGTTTGGTGTTGCTGGAGCCTTGATGAGAGGCAGTGGGCATCAGGAGAGGCGGGAGAGGGACTCAAGGGCCTATGACAGGGATTTGATATCTTTACCTGGGGGTGGGAGTGGGACTGGGGCAGATTTGGGTGGTTAAGCAGAGAATTGACATGGTCAGATTTTAGCTAAATAGCTCTGCCTGCTGTGTGGACTGTGGGTGGGGGCAGAATCTGTCTTTTTTTTTTTTTTTTGGGTGGGGGTGTTGTGCTGCGTGGTTTGCAGGATCTTAGTTCCCCGAACTGGGCCCTTGGCAGTAAAAACTTGGAGTCCTAACCACTGGACCGCCAGGGAATTCCCAGAATCTCTTTTCACGAGATCTCTTGGGATTGGGCTGAATGCCCAGCCCAGGGCCTGCAGGTGTACAAGATAGCCTTGGGAATAATCATCCCAGCCAAGTCTTAGTGAGTGCTGCCACAAGCCGGGCAGTGTTCTGTGTGCTCCAAGTAGAGTAACTACTTCACCCTCCCGAGAGCCCTGTGATGAGGATGGTATTCTTATCACCCCCCGCTATGACCACGAGGTGACTGGGCACAGAGAGGTTAACTTATGTGTCCCAGCTGCACATTCCAGTACAGGCTGCCTGGCTCCAGGGTCAGCCTGTAATCACTCTCCATCTTGCCTCCTCCGGGTCCACTGTCCTCTGGAAGGCTCTCACAGACGCAGAATACTGTAATGGCATCCTGCTTCAAGTTTATGAAATCTTTCACATGAATGACCTCATTCCACCATGCAACAGTAGCTTCTGTGAGTAGGTATTATTACTCATAGCTAAGAAAACCAACCAAAGTGATTTGTTAAAGGTTAGGATTTAGGTGGCAGAGACCCAGACTTGTGTCTTCTGACCCCGAGTCTAGTGTCGGGTCTCACGTTCATTGTCAGTTGATGCCACGGCCAGCCTCACGGTCAGCCTCCCGGTCAACATGCCATGTGGTTCAAAGGCCAGGGCATTTTCCACTCCTACCCAACTGCCTCCTGTCGAGGAAAATGTTTTTCTGAACTGGGCAAGAGAGTCATAGAGAAGTGTGTTGCTGGCATCAATTCCCTCTGATTGGGCAATGGCTTCCGCCATCTGGACCAGGTGACGTCAGCCGCCTGGATTTCCGCCAGTGTTCTCCCACCCAGGAAACTGACTTCCGGCCAGGCTCCCAGCCATCTCTGGCCTCCTTGAAAGGCAGACTTTTCAGTTTGCAAGGTGAGAGACTTTAAATTAGATCTCAGGGAGGGTTTTGCTATAGGGAAGGAGGTAAAAATGGCGAAGAGGAGTTCAGAGGACACTGGCTAGGAATGAGCAGGAGCCCCTCTGTGTGGGGTCTGGGGTCTTTCTTGGAGCAAGATGGGGAGGATCCAGGGCTACAACTGGGAGATTTTTTTTTGCTTCTTTTTTTGTTATAGTCACTAGTTTGTTGTAGTTTTTAGATTTCACATGTGATATCGTACAGTATTTGTCTTTCTCTGTCTGACTTATTTCACTTAGCATAATGCCCTCCAAGTCCATCCATGTTGCTGTAAATGGCAAAATTTCACTCTTTTTATGCCTGAGTAATATTCCATTGCATATATATATACCATATCTTCTTTATCCATTCATCTGTTGATGGACACTTAGGTTGCTTCCATATCTTGGCATCTTTTCACTTTCTTTCTTTCTTTTTTTAAATATTTACTTGTTTATTTATTTGGCTATGTTGCAGCACGCGGGATCTTTGCTGACGTATGTGGGATCTTCATTGCAGCATGCGGGATCTTTAGTTGTGGCATGTGGGATCTTTAGTTGCGGCATGCAGGATCTAGGTCCCTGACCAGGGATTGAACCTGGGCCCCCTGCAATGGGACCATGGAGTCTCAACCACTGGACCACCAGGGAGGTCCCTCTTTTCACTTTCTTGATGGTGTCCTTCGAAGCACAAAAGTTTTAAATTTTGATGAAGTCCAATTTATCTATTTTTTCTTTTGTTACTTGTGCATTTGGTTTCATAGCCAAGAAACCATTACCTAATCCACAGTCACAAAGATTTGAGCCTGTTTTCTTCCAGGAACTTAATAGATTTGGTTTCACATGTAGGTCTTTCATCCATTCTGAGTTAATTTTCTTATATGGTGTGAGATAGGGATCCAACTTCATTCTTTTGCATGTGGATATCCAGTTGTCCCAGCATTAGTATGCCTTTTGTGTTTTGTTTGGCCGAGCTGCGTGGCTTGTGGGATCTTAATTCCCTGACCAGGGATTGAATCTGGGCCCTCGGCAGTGAGAGCACAGAGTTCTAACCACTGGACGGCCAGGGAATTCCCACTATGCCTTTTTACAGTTGAATAAATTGCAAGTTCCGTGAGAAAAAGGACAGTGCCTGGTTTTGGCCACCATTGTCTCCTCAGGATTCACTTAACCCCATACCTGATACATACAAGATGCTCAATAAATAATAGGCTGAGTGAATAAATATATGAGTGATTGAATCTCAGAGAGGTTAAGTAACTTGTATAGGTCAGTCAGCTGGAAAGTGGCCACACATTGTTCAAACCCAAGGCTTTTCATTCATTTCAAATGAAGCGATTTCGTGTGTCTAAATTTCTGAAACTTTCTTAGGTTACCAAAAGCTCTTTATCACAAGAAACCAGATTTTCTCAAAGTTTCCTTTGCCGCCTCTCCCTGTAGCATTCCGATAATTCCACTGTTTGTGAGCAGCCAAACTTCTCAAATCTAGCAAGCCTCATGTCCCTTCTGCCTCTGCCTCCCTTCCCCCAGCCACAGAACCAAAGACTCCACTTCCTTCTACAGGCGTTTTTCTAGATATCTAACTACAGCCTCCTGCTGCGCAATGTTAACATAAATCCTCATGAGTGATTGGTTAACTGTATATTATGGGACCTGCTTTGATGTGGGAGCCATGTTGGGTGCGCGGGAAGCTTTGAGTGCTCTGGACTGTGTGAAGCACAGCCTTAGGGAAGCCCAGTGTCCTTGCTCTGGTCCTGACATGGCGCCCCCTTTGTGGAATGTGGTTTCTGATTCTGGGTGTAGCTTGCCGTCTTAGAGGAGAATGAAGCCAGGCGGCATAAGCACCAGTTATGGAACATTTAGATGGACTCACATCTTTTGGGATGGGGACAAGGGAGAGCCCTAAAGAGAGAGGAAGAGCTGTGCCCTTCAAAGTTTCCGAAGTTTAGCTCTAAACTGGG